CCGTGTCGTGCGCCGTGTAGTGCTAATGCGCTCGCCCCTAGGTCCGCCAACTCCGACCAGACTTACTCGATGCAGGCGACCAGCCTCGACGCTCGCAAACAGCACAGGCAAAAGAAAATAAGCTGTGACTCGATATCCGCCCGATCTGGACAATGCCACGCTTAGACGCCCAATGACGAAACAAATAAGGGAGAAACGAAGAACGAAACTACAATACGGAAGATCCGCAAGACCGAATCTGTGCGTCAATGAGAACCAAGCAATCCCTAGCAGTAGCCGGAAGCCTGCCTGCACTCGGCGCTGCCAGGTAAGCCATTTATGGCGGTGGCCTGCGCCATACCTGGTGCCATACAAAACCAAAGTTATAACACGGATTCGGTCTTGACTCCATCAAGGCCTCTTGTGCATCGCCCACGCAAGCAAAGACTGGAAATCCACAAAAAGCTATCATGTTAGCGGTTGCTACCATGAACATGTTTGCCAACGTGGACCCAAAACTGCGATTTCTTGCAACCTAGACGACGCAATCGAAGTTGTGCAGTCAGTGTGGTGAAATATAAGTAGTGCAAGTGATGTTTACACATGAGTTGACAACTTCCATGCCTCTGCAAACATCCCACCCACCAACCTGCAACTTGGTTTACAGAATCCATGCGGCGGCGATTGCGATGAGTGCTTAGCGTTGGCTGGTGCATCTCTGCGGCCGCGCTGGCCCGCGCATGCTCGCGTGCACAGCGGCCAGATAGTCTGGCGCGACCGACGCGGCCGCGGTGGCGCTGACCGCTGGGCAATGCCCAGCGGGCATTTCAGTGCGAGCCAGTAACTTGGGCGGGCGCGGTATCATGGCGACGCCGACAACGGTAGACGCGATTATGAGAGTAGCGATGATGGTGACGATGGTGGCGATGACGACGGCAAGGCCAATGACGGCGCCGATGTTGATCACGCCCGCCGAGAATGATGACCATGTCCTCGCGTCGGGGATGAAGGTTTTTTGAAGGAGTTCGACATGCGCGCGCGGCCGACGCGCGCGAGTGGCCCGCGTGGAATTATTTGACACTGATCGTGCCGCCGCCACCCCCAGGACGCGCGCAAGGGAGTTCGAATAAGTTCGACATGCGGCGCGAGATGCCCATTTGGCAGAATTTGATGAACATGCTGCAAAACATATGGTATCCTGAAGGATCCGCAAGACTGTTAGCGCAGGACGTGCTGGAAAACTGATGCTGCAAAACCATGTCTTGTGATATGTTTCCGGGACACTCTTTTGGGGAATCCGTACGACATCTAAGGTTTTTGAAATATTTCGGCATGCGCGCGCGGCGACGCGCGCGTGTGCACTTCGTCCCATCTGCTCCCGGGGATTCTTGCGACAACACGCGCGCAAGGGCGTTCGAACGTTTTCGACATGCGCCCGCGATAGGCCCGCTTGGCAGAATTTGATGGGAATGTTGTGAAACGTATGGCTTTCTTCAGAACTCGCAAGAGCGCGGGCGCAAGCTCTTTTTGAACATACTTATTGCGAAACCATATGTTTGATTCTGTATCCGTGGCTATTGATTTTGAAATCCTTACGAAACCTACGGCTTTTGAAAGATTTCGGCATGCGCGCGCGACGACGCGCGCGTGTCCACTTGATCCCATTTGTTCCAAGGGGATTCTTGAAAATGCGTGATTTGTGATAACGAATGAGCGCGCATATTTTTTCAGAAGATGAGGGGGGGAGGGGGGAGGGGGGGGAGGGGGGGGCGAAATCAGGCATGGCTGTGATGATATGAATTCACAAATCGGATGGACGATGAGGCAAAATCACATGTAAATTGCAGTACGAAAAGGTGTACCGTTAGCTCCAGGGGGGAAGGGCAGATCCTCATTCTTTTTGAGAAGAGAGAATCCACTAGGTGCAATATTTGTGGTGCAATGCACTGCAAGGCAATGCAAAGGAATGCAAGAAAAGAATACAGTGAAAACTTATAGTAAGGACGCGTGGTAAGGACGCAAGACCCTTGGAGGCCGAAGTTGAAGTATTCTGGGCGGCAGGCGGCCAAACCCCCAGGGAACCTGAGAAACTGGCCTGCGAAAATTGCTAGGGACGGGCCGCAGAGGCTGAGGCAGGCAAGGACCCAAGGGTACCCTTGAAAAAGTCGTTTGTCCTTACTATGCGCGTTGACTGTAAAGAATGCAAAGCAAAGCAAAGTAGAGCAAAGCTGCAAAGTAATGCAAATTAAGGCACAGGAATGCAACATAATGCAAAGTAAGGCAAAGCAATACAAGGGGATGCAAAGCAATGCAAAACAATGCAAAGCAATGCAAAGCAATGCGAATCAATGCAAACAGTGTGAAGCAAGGCAAGCGGGTGGCAGCGACGGGCGGCGACGGGCGGCGACAAGCCAGCCGGACCGCCAGCCAGGCCCAGTTCCTCAGAAAACAATGCAGGATCCCCTGAGTGCAAGCACTGTTTGAGGAACTATAGAAAAACGCGATGTGCTCGATAAGCCACTGGACGCTGGATCAACTGAGCGGCGATCAAGAGTCAATAAACAATTGTGCTTCTGGTAGCCGCTGGATCAAAGGAGCGGCTGTCCGAAGCACACCTTCTCCCTCGAGCAATGCTTGCACCTGGGGGTTCTTCATTGCTCGGTGCCTAAAGAAGTAAGAATGAGGATCTACATATTCTCAGGTGCGACCATAAGGTCCCATCCATGTGCTGCGTACAACGTGATGGAGATTCCTTCCTTGATTGGACACATAGGGTCCCCACCATGCCTCGCGCACGAGGTGCCGCAGTCTCTCCTGTGCGGCCACAGGGTCCCGCCCACGCTGCCCACGAGATGCCATGGGTGCCTCGGTGCGGCCGCAGTGCTGCCGCCCATGCCTTGCCCACGAGATGCCGTGGGCTCCTCGGTGCGGCCATGGTGTTCTCGCCCGCACATTGCCTACACAATGACGCTGTCCCTCCCGTGCGGCCACAGGACGACCCCGACCACGTGCTGTGCACGACGTGCCGCAGACACTTCCGTGCGGGCATCGGGCCCCTCCCTCGGGCTGCCCGCGAGGTGCCGCGAGCGCAACACACGCGTCTGATCACGGGCCGGGCCCCCAGCGGCGGCGGTGGCGCCATTTACGCACAGCGGCACGACGACAAGAATTACGACGGGGGCCGATGCGCACTGACGGGAGAGAGGGGGGAAGTCTATGGAAGAGAGAGCATCATACACACAAGCACTCCCAGGAGCCGCACGGATCTCCGACAGTTTATGCTTATGTAGTCTGCGAGAAGTGTGGGAGGGTGGGGAACCACGACCGACGAACCTACCCATATGTATCCACGTTTTTGCGGTCTGGATACCGAAGCGCGATCCCATGGATGCGCTTCGCGCGAGGCATCCACGCAACACAATCCTGCATCCTTCCTGCCCCTTCTGGTCCTGTCGCCACCGTGGACCAGTCTCCAAAGGCGAGCAGGTGGCACATGGGCCACGACGGCCATGGCGTCCGCTCTGGCGCGCACAGGGGGGTAATCAGGAGGAAGGGGGCCGGCTCCTTAGAAGCAGGGGTGCTTCTAAGAAGCCTTCCCTCTCCCCCCCTGCCCGCCTCTGCGCGTGGCCCACACGGAGCGCACCCCCGCACAGACACACGGTGGCCCATCCAGAGCGGGGAACCCGCCAAACTCCCCGACGACCTCTCCAGGAGTCCAAACGGGTCGGGGATCCAATGGCCCCGGTCAATCCAGACCCAGGTCAGTCAGGCCTCGCAAGATCCTGCAGGATCCCCGCAGGATCCTGCACCCAAGCCCGGGTCAGTGCAGCCCTGGCTCTGCAGGATCCCGCAAGACGCGGCGCTCTGACGCACCCCCGTTTGTACTGACCCCTGTCTCTTGAGCCCCGAGCTTATGCTGTTCCCATCGCACTTAAGGGCCACATCCCAGAAATCATTTCGAGCACCTCGAAAAGTATCGAAACAATGTCGAACGAGTATCGCCTCCCGGGGCCCGACACGTGAAGAGCCTCCAGTTTGGGTGCTTCCTTGGTGCTCGAAATTCTCTCTGGTGGTCCAGGCTAAAGCTGGCTGGAACATCATAACCGCGGACGGGGACCGCCAGGCCGTGGGCACGGCTGCGCCTCCCGCCCGCGAGGCCTGCGACGATCCCGGTCCCGCCGCCGACGTCGGGGGGGGGGGGGAGGAGGGGGCCGCGGCCGGGGCTGAGCGCCCCCCGGCGCCCGGCCGAGCGTGGGGCACGAGGCAGGAGAGAGGCGGGAGGGGGGGAGGAGGAGGCGGGATCGCCACGTGAACGGGCCCTGAGGCTCCCAGGAGGCCTCCTGTCGAAGAGGCGCCCAAGAGTCCTCCTCCTGTTCCTCCTCCTCCTCCTCCTGTTCCTCCTCCTCCTGTTCCTCCTTCTCCTCCTCCTCCTCCTCCTCCTCCTGTTCCTGTTCCTCCTCCTCCTCCTCCCCTCCTCCTCCCTCCTCCTCCTCCTCCTCCTCCTCCTCCTCCTCCTCCTCCTGTTTCCTCCTCCTCCTCCTCCTCCTCCTCCTGTTCCTCCTCCTCTCCTCCTGTTCCTCCTCCTCCTCCTCCTCCTCCTCCTCCTCCTCCTCCTCCTCCTCCGCCTCCGCCACAGATCTCTCGCAGCTCTCAGACTCTCGGGGCCCTTCCCTGGGCCCCGAGACTGCCACAAGCACGACTCGGGAGGAACAATTCGTCCCCGGGGCAAGCTCTGGGGCCCAGGGCCCGTCCTCCCCCCCCCCCCCCCCCCCCGGGACCCGCCCCCCCCCTCGTGCCGAGACGGCGGAGGCACGGACGTGACGAGTCTGCTCGAGACAAGCGCGCTCCACGACTCGCAAGGGAACTACTCGCCAAATGGCCTGGATCCGGCAGCGGAGGATTGGTGATCCATCACGTTGAGGCAGACGTGTTTTTTCTGTCTCGGGCGTTTGCGAGTGGGCGCTCTGCGAGTAGTGGCACGCGCTCGACGCCCTCTGCTTGCAGGCTGTGCCCAGGCGCGCCTGGCTGGACCTGCCGGCCGCGTAGCTGGCCGCGCTCGGGCGGGGGCGGCTCTCGAAGACCGAGGCGGAGGTGCCGTCGGAGCCCCTGGCGGCGGAACCCGCGCTGGGCCTCCTCTCCCCCTCCTCTGCTTCGGACTTTCGACTCGTGCCCACCGCGGCGCTCTCCACGTGTCGTAAGCCTTCACGGGACGTGCGATGCGAGACGCGTACACGGGTACGTACGCCCGCCCCCCCCCTCTCCAGGTCGCAACGCCTTCCTTATGCAACGAACACCCCCGTAGTGTGCTCTCTCGACGCCCGCGTGGGGTCATCTGCGCGTGCGTCGTTGCCGCGCCGCGCTCCTGAACATGAGCTCTGCTTGTGAGTGTGCGTGCGTGCGTGCGGTCGTGTGTGTGTGTGAATGTGTGAATGTGTGAGTGTGTGTGTGTGCGTGTGTGTGCGTGTGTGTGTGTGTGTGTGTGTGTGTGTGTGTGTGTGTGTGTGTGTGTGTGCGTGAGTGTGTGTGTGTGTGTGCGTAAGTGTGTGTGTGTGTGTGTGTGCGTGTACTGTTATTCGCCGCGCAACGGCAATGATGGGGGCGAGCGCCCCCCCCCAGTTGACGGTGCCGCAGCGGGCAACAATACTATTGTCAGACCAACCGGCGTGATCTCGCACTGCACTATTTCGACCGACCGACCGTGCCTGGGTGTGCTGGGATATGTCGGTGCACTGCCTCGGTGTGCTGGGATGAGCTTGCTGGGATCGGTGTGCTGAGATGTGTCGGACGTGCTAGGATGTGCGCTGGGGGCTGGGATGCGTGCTGGGATGTGCTGGGATACGTGCTGGCCGTGGCCCCCTGGGTGTGCTGGGATCTGTGCTGACATGCGTCGGTGTGCGCTGGGGGTGCTGGGATGTGTGGGTGTGCTGGGATACGTGATGGGGTGTGTGCTGTGATGTATGGGTGTGCTGTGAAGTGCTGCGATGTGTCGGTGTACTGCCTCGGTGTGCTCGGTGTGGAGATGTGTCGGTGTACTGACTCAGTGTGCTGGGCTCGGTGTGCTGAGTTGTGTGGATGTTCCCAGTATGTGTGCTGGGTGTGGTGTGCTGGGCCATGGCCCCCTGGGTATGCTGGGATGTGTGCCGGGATAAGTCGGTGTATTGCCTTTGTGTGCTGGGGTGTGTGCTGGCCGTGGCCCCCCTGGGAATGCTGGGGTGCGTGCTCGGTGTGCTAAGATGTGCGGACGTACTCGGTCGTGCGCTGGGGGTGCTGGGGTGTGTGGCTGTTCTGAGAGGTGCTGGGACATGTGCTGGGATGAGTGTTGAGTGTGCTGGGATGTGTGGGTGTGCTGTGGCCTCCCTGGGTGTGCTGGGATGTGTGCTGACCGTGGCCCCCCTGGGAGTGCTGGGGTGTGTGCTCGGTGTGCTGAGATGTGCGGGCGCACTCGGCTGGGCGCTGGAGGCGCTGGGATGTGTGGCTGTGCTGTGTTGACCTGGGATGCATGCTGGGATGTGCTTGGATTTTAGGGTATACTGTGGCCCCCCTGGGTGTGCTGGGACCTGTGGGGTGACGGGATGTGTGGGTGTACTGGGATGTGTGTTGGGTGTGGTGTGCTGGGATGTGTGGGTGTACTGGGATGTATGATGGGTGTGCTGTGCTGTGCTGTACGCTGGGTGTGCTGGGATGTGAGGACGCACTCCCGACCGTGACCCCTGCCTCCCCCCCGCCCCCCTTCCCTTTATTCCGACCGACCGTGCTCTCCCCTTTCTCCCCCCATGGCCCCCTCCCCTAATTCCGACCGACCGTGCCCCCCCTGTTTCCCCCCACCGTGGCCCCCGCTTCACCCTCCGCCCCCCCTCCCCTTATTCCGTGCTCTCA